TATATATATAAAACAATAAAAGACTATTATAGTAGTTATATTAAATATACAGTATTTAATTTTTTTTCTCAAACGCATCTGTGAAATAAAACCAGATTAAGGCATGTAAACATGCTACACAGCGCCATGATTTTTTGTACACTTTTCTTTTTTCTTCCATATTCAGCAATCTGTAATGATGTCAAACCTCTTTCGTGCGGCCTTTTGTCAATCATTCCTGCACCCTTCGAAGGGTGCCTTAATGTCAGGGTCTCGTTTGTCCACTACGTACAACCATTTCACCCCTTAACCTCCTTAATAGGGACCAAAACCCCCTATGGGTCAAACTTTAATGTTATGCAATCGTTTAGAAGCACAAGAAAATGACGAAAAACAGACCTACAACCAAATACACCTCTGAAAGCAGAGTGCTTGCTTTTTCATGTAGTAAAAAATGTGTGAAATTATTTGTAGGGGGCGCCACTTGCAGGAAATCCTACAAATTCTACTTATTGTACAAATACAAGATGCTTCGCACATCTAGATTCAATCACAGGGCCACCTCTGTCCTGTCTTTGTGTGTTTTCCGATCCGTTCAAGTACGAGTGCCTGTGCGGTTTAGCCGGTGTTTGTCGGCATGATTAGGCACTACGGTTTATATACGATGTATAGATTGACAAACACTGCTTGTATTAGACACCAGAGCTGCCTGTTTCAGTGAAATTTCACTTTATAACGTCACGTTTAAATGTCATACCGCTTCAGATTATTCCATGCAAAATGGGACTTTTTTTCCCCACTCACTGGTTTCTCACCTCAAAAGAATCACAGCCATTGAGAACCGCTCCTATAGAGTTGCCATAGTAACCGCTGATGAATCCTGCCATTTTACTGGCAAACCATCCACCATATTAGAAAAGCACAAGAGATATGCTCTATAATGTGGGTTCAACACTGTGTATCCATTCATTCTCTGCTAAACCGTGCTATGGATCTACTTACGAAAATCTGAGGTGAAGTTATCTAGATAGAGTCGCTTGTTGGACTTAGCAATGAAGCACCTTGCGCTACAGCTATTTCCCTGTATTATTTCTCTGAAAATAGTCTATGCATCTGTTCTATCAGTTCGAAGTGATCAACAGCCTTGGATTGTTTACATCGCGAACCGCAGCTGCAAACTTCGCTGTTGTTTTGTTTAACAGACTGAATCCTTTTATGTTCAGTGTTGTGATATCGAACACTAGGGTTCCGCCACAGGAAATGGCGTTAATGAATGTTGAATTGACTGCAGAGTGGAAAATAGAATCTGTAGCAAGAACATACTTTCATTTGGATGGTAGGATTTCAAATATTAAAGCTGTGTGTTGCTGTTTGTGAATAATGATATTACAGGATACAGTCGTGCGCATGTAGTACGAGGCAAAGCACACGCAGACACAAGTGCACACGGATCCCAATAACTCGACATGCACCCAAACAGCCTGTATATAAGAAGCAGTGCATGTTGGGAAAGATTCTTCTTTGTGCCAGCATGTATCTTTGATGTGATATTCAATTGTTGTCTTGATTTGTCTTTTATTTTGATATTTGGGTATTATTTTCTATTTTTGGAAGGCTTGTGAATATATAAATATGTATTACTGATGTGTAGTGGTACAGAGTTACTAGCATGAGAGATTTTTTTTATACAAAGATGTTTCTAATTTTCAGTTTTTTTCTAAATATGATCGTTCTTATCGGGGGTGGAGGTAAAACAGATGCCAGCCTTGGTTTGTTTCTACTTCCAATAAATGGTTAAAAAAATGCAATGTGTAATGGATTTTTTGTTGGATTCTGTTAAATACGGTTTATATTTTATTGACACATTATTTTTTAAAAAAAAAAAAAAAAAAAGTTTAAATTATTTTTTTTTTAAATGAGGAAGGTTCATCAAGGCAAAATTGTATTTTATTTGGCCTGACATGTACGTTTAAAATCTTTACATTTCAAATTGGTGTTTTTAAAGGAGGGAGAAATTCTTGGATTTTTCAAGCCAACATTAATTATGCATTTAAAGTGTGCCTAAAATTAGCATGCCGAACACAAAATGCCCAGGTGCTTTCACACCCGGCTCGTTGTTTCGGAACCTGGCGGGTTTCCCCTCTTAGCTCGGTTCGTTTGGGCATATGTGAACACGGCAATCGCGCTCGGATCCACACAATGAGCCTCTCGCTGACTCTCCAGTTACTCTTATCTGATTGGTCTGTGGGAGAGCACGTCTTAGCCATTCAAAATCAAAGCGCACTTTTTCATTTTATAATGCCGCCTTATTGCTCTTCTTCCTAGTAGGTGCATTTTAAAAATGTTTTCCCAATGAATCCTGGACTCCTGCTCAAAATGATAAATTAATATAAGGACAGCTACAAAAAAAAAAAAAAAGAGCTGTTGTCGTTCCATTCTGACGGATGACAGCCGTGACAGCTATGAGTGGAATCCCGGAAAATAAACGGTGGAACTTTGACCAATGAGACAACAGTTTACTCGCGCGTGACTTGTATTAACAAATAGGTCCGTTTAGAAACTTCGCCGTGTGAAAGCGAACCGCACCAAGAATAAAAAGCAACATTGTAATAATTTTAATCCCTGTTTCGGAACAAAGCAATTGATCTGCAGGTGTGAAAGCAGCCTTTAAAGTGATGTTGTAAGGCAACAAAGGCAAAAAAGCATTTCAGGAGGCAAAGGAACACCCACATTCAGACTCTGCGTAGGAAAGAGATCTTGAGGGACTCTGGGATTTCCAGCTGGGCCGCACTGACTTGTGGTGGAGGCAGATAAGGGAACGTGACGGGGAATACCCGTCTGACATCCATCAGAAGCTGCAGAGGTTGCCCCTCAGAACACCCCTTCAGCAGCCCCTGGGAAAGCCGCTGTCACTGCTGGACAAAAGCCTGCTATAATATTGTTTTAGAATCAAATGCTTTGCTCGTACCTGCAGCACTATACGGATGAAATTGAACGTTACTCTCTCCTCAAGGTCACTCTGCGGTGTATAGAGGCTTAAAATCTTCACCACCTGCAACACATTTAAAATGCAAATACAATTAGCATGCCAACAAAAAATTGTGTGTATATATAATTTATCATATATATTGAAGATGTATTGAAATTAAAATTGAAATTAAATTTCGTACATATACATACACACACCTATATATGTGTATATAATTAACATTTGAAATAATTTTACTATAATACATTTACATAATCATATATACACAAATTATACATAATTATATCCATATTATTTAATTATAATAATGTTAACGGAAAATAAATTTACAAATGTGTGTATTTAAAATAAATTAATTTAGGATAAAGGATAATTATTTGTAATTTGTTTTTTATATTTGTATATTGTATTTTCATGTAAGTATATTATATGATATGTTTTATATTATAATACATTATATATGTGTATAAACATATTATAATGAAAGTTATAAATCATATGTTATAAACTAAGATTTATAAAGACAAAATTTGATTCTAGTATCCAATTACGTTCAATATTATTGAATTCAAACATATTAAATTATATATATACAATTTATATAATGTTATATATAATTCTACACATAAACACACATAAAAAACATTTAATATAATTTAATAATAATACATTTACATATAAATTATACATACACAATTTATATATAATTTTATTTATATTTAATTTGTTGTTAACAGAAAGTAAAATTACAAATGTGTATATTTAAAATAAATTAATTGTAAATAAAATGTTAAATAAATTGTATTTTTCTACAAGCTGTGTATATTATATTATTATGTTTATAAATATACTATAATGAAGGTTATAAATTATATAATATATATTATAAACTAAGGTTTATCAAGACAAAACATTTATTCTAGTATACCAATATAATTATATTTGTAAGGTCCACGCACTTGGCCCAATGAAGGTTGAGACAATAGCCAGCGGTTATGACCAGTACTATGACTAGTCCCCCATAGTTAACGCAACTGAGTACAACTTAACTAAAGTCAAGCCGTTAGTCAGAAACCTAAAACCTCACCTGATGTGCACCATGCTCCATCTAACCTGAGATCTAGTATGCACTTAACCCTGGACGCAGATTTGCGGAAACATACGCCTTCACTTAATCTACTTGAGAAAATAATTCCAGAGTAAGTCAGAATAAATCAAATGTAATCATTTATTATCAGTCAGGTAAATATGTATTATGCCAATTACATAGCCAATTCAAAGATATCAAATTAATACAAGACATCAAATTCTCATAGACAAATCTAAGAGTAAGATGCATACCTGACTTTTAGAAAAATACATAGTGTGAAGTGTGTGGACACACTTCATACTACGGGCTTTCTGGCTACAGAATCGCCCTGACCCTTTTGCTGCAATCCTTTAAATACGCAACCAAGATAAAACATCCCCCAAATGGAGGCATGTACAAAACAATTGGAATTTGCATTGTGCATGGTGGTTTACACCTCAATGGGAACAGAAGGTAATTTGCATGGAATGACCCTCTACAGTAATCAAAGTATCTCTTAACTCTTAGGATCTGTACTATCTTTTAGTCTACTTTTGTAAGATTAAGACCATTGTACCACTCGCCCTGACACTATTCAAATGATACCAAACATGACTGTAAATCTTATTTGCATTCATATAGAACATTATACTACTGACCATTCTGAGTGAATCAAGTGGAGGGAGGATGGGTAAGGGGAAGGAAGGAGATGAAAAGGAACTGATGCATATGTGAGAGAGGTGTTTCCTGCACCACCCCTCTGTGGGGTGTCTCGAAGATGCCCGTGGAAGTTTGTATTACCAAGATAAAACATCCCCCAAATGGAGGCATGTACAAACAATTGGAATTTGCATTCAGACCTGGGTGGTTTACACCTCAATGGGAACAGAAGGTAATTTGCATGGAATGACCCTCTACAGTAATCACAGTATTTATTATCTTTTAGTCTACTTTTGTAAGATTAATACCATTGTACCACTCACCCTGAGACTATTCAAATGAAACCAAACATGACTGTAAATCTTATTTGCATTCATATAGAACATTATACTATTGACCATTCTGAGTGAATCAAGTGGAGGGAGGATGGGTAAGGGGAAGGAAGGAGATGAAAAGGCACTGATGCATATGTGAGAGAGGCGTTTCCTGCACCACCCCTCTGTGGGGTGTCTCGAAGATGCCCGTGTAAGTTTGTATTGTCTGTTTCTCAGGAGATCAAAGTATCTGAGTTTCTTTTATCCTTGCGTATTCAATATAATTAAATTCACACATTAAATTATATATACACAATTTATATAATGTAAAAAAAAGAAAACATTTAAAAATGAATTTTGTTTATAATAAAAAGAATATTTGTCAAGAAAAAATGTGATTTTATTTTGCCTGACATGTAACTTTTATAACAGGTGCGCCACCTGCTGGTTGGACAGTTCATTGCAGGCTTGGACCATGGCTTGTCCATCAGCTTCAGTCGTCTTGCTCATTTGAAGAAGCTGTGCTGCGTGTATGAGTGGCTCCAGCGCGGTCACAGCGCCCCCTGTCTGCAGCGAACGACTGCGCAGCCACTCCTCCAGTAAACTCACATTATACCTAGTCCAGGGGTAGGCAAGTTCGGTCCCTCTGCGGGCCTGCGGCTCTCTAGGACCGAACTTGCCTACCCCTGACCTAGACTACACAGATGTAACTATTCAGTTCAAGGCACTCAAGCAGATGTGTAAGTAACCGAAGCAAGAGCAGTTCTGACCTGATCTGCAGGCCGCGGTTCCAGCAGCACATGTCTTTGCGCAGCAGCAGGCTGTTGAGGGTGGAGGCGGCCAGCAGGTAGCCTACATGAGCTGATGGAAGGCTTGCTCCTGCAGGGCCGAGGGCAGATCCTGACGGGACAGGGCTGTGTGCAGCGCTGACAGTTCCCTCAGGACCGCTGACATAGTCGCTCCCTCCGTACTGGCTGGAGGTCGGGGGTCCGATCCCACACGCTTACGAACGGGCACTCAGCTTCACTGATGATCCAGCCAGACCAGGAATGCTCTCACTTTCAAGCATTGCTGGGACTAAAGTTAAGAGAAGGGTACACAAGCATATATGTTATATTTTATTATATGTATATAAATTAATTATAATGATATATATATAATGATATATAATGGTATATATCTATATTACAATCATGTATATATACACACGTGTATATAATTTACATTTAATTATAAATATAAAAATATATAAATTACAACAAATAAATAATAAATTACACAAATGACATAAAAATGTGTATATGTAATTTATTATATTATACATGTATCTACAATGTATTAATAATGTAATAAAAGTATACTACTATGTTATATTATTTATATAATATACAATTATTTTTATAGTTTGTTAATATTAAATGTATATGTATGTGTTTGTTTACGTATATTCAAATTATGTTCATATAATCAATTACATACACACAATTTATGTATATTATATATGTATATAAACATATTATTAATGAAAGTTATGAAATTAAATGTCAATTTTATGTTCAAATATATCATATTAGAATGATCATTTAGAGCTTTTTTTTGCAGAAAGTGACAATTGGTCAAAATAACAAATGTTTTCATTTGTTGTGATTGAAAATCAGGGTTATTCCACCAAATAATGATTTCTTAACTCTTCTGAAGTTAAACATTGGTATTGTGTTGTCTGAAAATGAATATAAACATGTCATCTTTTTTGTTATTTTGATCAATTGTCATTTCATGCTCTAAATGACATTTTTATTTAAAATTTAATTTAAATGTTTTTTTGTTTGTTTTTTTAAATGTCATCAACATGTTTACAGAATAAAACAAAAAATATGTTTTATTCAAACACATAGCTATAAATCATAAATCCAGAGAAAATTAGAATTTTCAATATACATATACTGTATATATATCAAGGTCATTGGCAGCTGTGTAAGAAAGGTCTTTGTGTCTGTATTACTGTACCGATGATGGGTTGCAGGCGACTCTCTGAGATGGACAGCAGCTGCTGATTGGCCTGAATACACAGATCACTGAGCACCCAGACAGAGTCCTGCACATCCGTCACCAGAGGAACCAGCTCCTCTGAGCCCCTCACGTCCTGCAGGAGAAGAGGCATATTTCGATTTGAAGTCATTTCTGCATAAGAACTAAAGAAACTGCTGACATTCAGTCGAGGAGAGTGCTGGTAGAGCAGGTCTTTGAGCAGGTAAGTGTTCTTCAGCCACACAGCCGTCACGTCCAGATCATTGCCGTGTTTCTACAACATGAATCACACAACAATTAATGTCTTAAAATCTACTCTATACACATCAAACATGTTTCCCAGATGCAGATTAAAATTAGTTCTGGCCTTTACGCATTCTTAAAGGGATAGTTCACCCAAAAAATTAAAACTAGCCCATGATTTACTCACCCTCAAGTGAGTATTCTAGGTCCTAGGTCTATATGACTTTATTCTTTCAGACAAAAACAATCAGAGTTATATTAAAAATGTCCTGGCTCTTTCTCAAAATTTATAATGGCAGTGAATGGGTGTCAGGATTTTTAAGCCCCAAAAACTGCATCCATCCATCATAAAGTATGCTCCATATGGTTCCAGGGGTTAATAAAGGCCTTCTGAAGTGAAGCGATGCGTTTGTGTATGAAAAGTATCCATATTTAAAACTTTATAAACCGTAATCTCACTGTCATACACACGTTCATGAGAGACTGACGTTCCAGCGGATGACGTAGGTGTAGCGTAAGCTCCGGTGAGAATATACAGCAAAGGGAAACCAGTCTCCTCTCGGCTCGGGGGAGAAGAATAGTTGAATAAATTATGTTATTTTTGTTTTCTTTGCACTCAAAAATAATTCTCGTAGCTTCACAAAACTGAAGTTGAGCCACTGATGTCACATGGACTGTTTTACCGATGTCCTTACTATGTTTCTGGACCTGGGAACATTACAGTTGTGTTGCTGTCTATGGAGGGTAAGAGAGCTCTCACATTTCATCAACAATATCTTAATTTGTGTTCTGAAGATGAACTAAAGTCTTACAGGTTTGGAACGACATGAGGGTGAGTAATTACTGACAGAATTTTCATTTTTGGGTGAACTATCCCTTTAGTTTTAAACCCTTTAAAATTGGCTCCATACACTTCCAGTTTCTTACTGTAATTCCCATTTTTGGGAATAAATTTACATTTACATTTAGTCATTTAGCAGACGCTGCTTGCGCCAACAGTTGTACATGGAAGCAGTTCCGGGCTGATGACGTATGAGGTCAGCGTTGCGCATGCGCCGATCAGAAGTGACGAACCCGGAAACGCAGCAGAGATCAAACCAAAACAATGGTCACTAATTAGAAGTACAAAACGAGGATTTGTAAAGAAGAATGTCGGAGGATTCCGATATAAGCCAAGAGGAGACTGGTTTTCCTTTGCTAAAGTAAGGAAGCTTTGCTTCCTTTGCTCCTCATAACAAACGTTGGTTTTCACGAGACTCACCGGCGCATGTGCAACGCTGACCTCATACGTCATGCTCCCGGAGCTGCTTCCGTGTACAACTGTTGGCGCAAGCTACATTAAATTGATTATTACGTTTTAAATATGGTTATTTTTCTTACAAAAACGTATCGATTCGCTACAGGAGGCCTTTGTTCACCACCCGGAGCCGTGTGAGACACTTTTTATGAAGGCCCTTGAAAGTACAAAGAACAATAAATGGTAAGTTCAAATGGAACCGGTACATTCATCTCAGGATCTCCAGGTGTATCTCTGTCTTGAGTTTCATCGTGAGATCTGATATCTCCTGCTCCCACTGCGCTCTCTGAGACAACAGCTGCCTCTCTAGGAACCTGAAAACGTACAATGTAATGCGTATGGAAGTTCATTTATGACTTCCAGAGTATCAATCTGATGTACGTGAGGTGAGCAGAAGGAACCTGACTTCTTGGCCACCCGTACAGCGTCATAAGCACATCTGAGATCCTCCCCCTTGATACTTTCAGCGGTGTCCTTCGCAATGCTCATATCCTCCATTACGATGTTCTGCAGGTAAGCATTCCTGTTTTTGTTATTACAGTTTTTATTTTGCATACAGTGAGAGACACACGTTTGGTTTCGATTGAAACACTAACCAGAGGTTGCTCATCTCTCCAGGGTCTCCTGTCGGTGGGCGACGTCACGCTGATCCTCCTGACCTCCTCAGGTGAAGGGAAGACGGGCGAGCTGGAGAACGGTGTGGTGACGGGTGAAGGAGGCTCCAAAGATGCAGTTGAATCTGTTCGTCTGTGTCCACGTGAACGCTGAACACCCACATATATTCACATGTATATTAATATTAAATACTTGTATATTAATATTTAACACTTAATAAAAGCAGTAAACTAATACAACATTATATAACACATAACAGATCATTAGCTACTACATTCAAATGTGTTTTTAATTAATATACAATGTCATATTTTAGATTTGTACATGTACAGGGCAGTGTTATTTTAGTGTCACTTAGATACTATTATAGTATCATTTATTTTTATATTTTCTGTTTTCAGTTCAATTTTAGTTAACCTTTTAGTCATTTTGCTATGTGGTTTTGTCATTTTTATTAATACTGTTTTTTTTTTACCATATTTGTATATAGTTTTCTATTACCGTTTATTTCAGTTTAGTGTGTGTGTGACTATAATAAGGAATAATTGTCATTAAAAATGTATATGCTAACTTTTTTGGATGTTGCATTCAAAATTCACACGGCTCAGAAATCTGAAGAGATATGTGATATGGAAACGTTGCCTTGAAAGATCATTTTCAGTAAAGATGTACCTCATTGGCTGTAAATAAGCTCATATCCCTCAGGTTGTCATATCTTTGCTCTAGGTCTTGTGAATTCTCTCAGTAAACTCTGGTATCTCCTCCTCTCTTTCATTAGTGTTTACTCGACTATGTTTATACTATTTTCATATTTATTGTGTCTTTAAATCCATTAAAATTAGTCAGCCATCTCATTCATTTCTTAAACAATACATGAGTTGAGATGGTGAAAATGACACTGTGGCAGACACATGATTCACCCTCCAGAGCTTTTTCCTGATCCTGTAAACCAATGGCCAGATCATCCCTCTCTTTCTCCAAAGAATCTCTCAACTCGGAGAGCTTGGATTTCCTAGAGTAAACAGGGAGTAAACAAACAAAACTAGCCCATGTCAATGGAACCAGCTGCCTTGCAAGAAAAGAAAGTTATTTAAGGAAAATAAAGTGGCTGATGTTAACCAAATTTAAAGGGGTCATATGATGCTTTTTTAAAGATCATTATCTCTTTGGGTTTGTGACTAGTCTTTGCAACTTCAGGGATCTTATCTATGCACAATCAGCTTGTAACACTCCAAAGAGAAAGGAAAACTTGAAATCGCATCATATGACCCCTTTAATATGTCACACATGGCTCACCTGTGTAAGCCGGAGGATCTCGTGAGCTCAGCTCTCCTCCTGTTTGTGAGTGAAGGCGCAGTATTTGCGTTATCCTGCAGCTGGATCTGGAGTTTGAGGAGGCTGGACCGCAGCTGTGAGCTTCTCGCTCGGCCTGAAGAGTCTCCCTCAGAGACGCACTTAGGGTTGGGTATCGAGAACCGGTTCCATTTTAGAACCATTTCCAATAATCGGGTAAGACATGTAATAATTCGATAAGACGTGCATTTCGATTCCGCTTAACGATTCCCGCGTTCGCATTTTAATGTGATTTTAAACTATTTAAGTGCAGGAAGGGAAAGAACTTGCACACTGTTTGCGTGCAGCGCACACATCTGAAGCGCGAGCACAGAGAACAGTGGTCCCGATGCAGATTCCCGACCTGTGTCCGTTCTCGAACTGTTCCGTGCATTTACACTAAGGTTGTTCCGGCCCAGAACTGACTTCTCTTTCACATTTATCGACCAGTATGCACGAAATACGTCAGTATATCATCATAAACACAGCCGTGTTTTTTTTTTTTGTCTTAAGTGAACGTAAATAGATGAGAAAGAAAACGCATGTGTAACAGTATTTTTAGATCGGTGTGTGTTCGGTGTTAAAGAGACAGCCGTCTAATAAACGTGCTGCCTATCATTAATTTGTTTACTTGTCTTTAACAATTTAATGTTTGACATTTATATTAGTCTAGTTGTTTTTTTCTGTGGTATTTTTTTTGATAAAACCATAGACATAAAACAGAATAAATATGTTTGACATCTAAATATTTGACTTAAAATTTGTTTAATGGCTTTTTTATCTAATTGGAATCGGAATTAGGAATCGATAAGAATCGGAATCGATAAGCAGAATCGGAACCGGAATCGATCAAATTCAAACGATACCAACCCGGACACACGAGTCACAATATACAACACTATTTAACAATTTAAATACTGCCAGTGTTGGAGGTAATGCATTACAAGTAACAGGAGTTACGTAATCAGATTACTTTTTGAAGTAACTAAAGTAAAGCATTACTTTTTGATTTACAAGAAAATACCTGAGTTAAGTTACTTTGTTTTTTCATTTATTGACTGACAGCTCTTCTGTCCCCATGTTGAGAGAAATCGGGAGTAAATGCAGAGGCGTTGTGTGCGCTGTGTAAACATGATAGTTACTGTAGTTCTATAGACTAAATCTCAACATGCATTTACTTATCTCACTTTCACAACAACAGATTCAGTATTCCTCAAAATGAATAAAAACAGTGAAATGCAAACCTGCAAAAATCAACTTTTGTTAAATAGCACAAATATCCGTTATGTATTTAATTCCATTTTATTAACCAGTGTCTTTGCTGCTGACCTTCGACAATCCAATTCAACCATACTAATAATCAAAAATTACTATATATAAAAATAACATTTGTGGGGTTTTTTTGTGTTTGTTTTTTGTTTTTTATTGCTTAAGAGTGTTGAACTTTCTTCTCCTGCGTCCTACTCCTCATGCAATCCAGAATGGCAGCACAATTAAAAGGTTTGAGTTGCACCCTCTACTGTACAGATGTGAATTTATATTTCCTTCAGCCTGAGGTTTATTCATTTCACTTTTGGTGTGAACGAGCCTTTTGGATTAAGGGAGTAACACAATATTGTAATGCATTACTAATGCATTCACTTTTCCCAACACTGAACATTACTTACATCATGACAAGTAGTTATCAAAAAAAAGGTGATATTTATTAAATAAAAAAATAATTTTATTGGGGAAAAAATCATTCTCTTAGGAAAATTAACCATGGTTTAGTACACATAAAACCACAAAAACATAGTTAAACCATGGTAGACACAAATTAACCGTGGTTTTGCTACACTAACCATAGTTTAACCAGGGTATGTAACGTAGTAAAACTGTGGTTATACAAAATGCACTTAATACGCCAAAAAAAAAAAAAAAAAAAAACATGGTTACACTTTTACTACAGTAAAACCATGGTTAATTTAAACCATTGTTAATTTTAATAAAGGGATTACAGAATTGTGAACATCCCAACTAAACACCGACGCTTTCACCTGTTGGTCTGCTCGGAGCTGCAGCTGCATGAGTTTGACTTCCATGCCTTTATTGAGTTCTCTGTATTTCTCCACCGACCGAGCCTCAGCACGCAGGCGCAACAGCTCTTTCCGCGCCGCTCACCTGCGCACGCAGCACTGCAGGAGCCCCACTGCAGCTCTGATGCATCTGAAACTGCACCGGGTCAGCCAGCCTCTCACCCGCGCCTGCAAGAACACCAACGCCCGCTCTGTGAGCATCTAGAGAGAGATTTATAAAACAAAGTGCACGGTAAAGTTATAATGTTTACATTAGACAACAACATTCATACATATGCACTCTGTAGGCTACTAATTTACTGATCGTAACGTAAAATGTCAAGCTGCCATAACCGAAAAGGTCACCTGTTATATCAAATACCTGTTAAGATTCAGTGATTTGAAGAGGATTTTTTAAGCTTAAAGTCTAGCAGATTGTGCCCTTATGTTAAATAGTTAACTTCAGCTAGCTTCATCTATTGTTTTCTATGACAAATGTACATCATGGAGAGCAAACTCTTCTTATGCTATTGGAAACAACACATGGACCGCGCACACACACACAAAAATACAGACCTAAACACTTGACACATGAAACACAACAAGGGTAACAATCAACTGATAATTTTAAAGTGAAACAAACTTATTCTGACAACACACAGTTAATGAACATGACAAAACAATATACATAAAACTAGCAAAAGGTGAACCATATTAATGATTTATGCCGGAGTGGATGATGGGAAAAGGGAAAATGCAACTGAACAACAAAGACTTTTAGCATAGACCTTATAGTACTCCGAAAACACACACACACACACACATTAGTCAACTGCTTCGCCTGATAGTTTGACTCTAAAACTCTGCATATTATAATAGAGATGCTGCATTGAGATGCATTACTTGAAAGTTAAGGCCCGTTCACACCAAGAATGATAACTATAAAGATAACGATATTAGCATCCACACCAGCGGACAATATCATCTGTTTATTCTAAGCACATGCACATCTGCTGTTTTAAATTCTCGAGCTCATGATAGAAGGATTGATTCTGATTGGCTGTCAATGTTTTTATTGTTCATCAGCTGGTAAAACACGTTCCTTAAAGTGATTCCAACAATATCGTTTCTCTGTGCCTTTATCGTTATAGCGGTGATGTGGACTCTGCTATTCTTTAATATTGAGAACGATTTTTAGAACTTGGCCTATATCTTTATCATTATCTTTATAGTTATCGTCCTTGGTATGAACAGGCCTTTAGAACTTCAAGATTGTAAAGTAAAGACTAGAATCAAGTAAATATTTGGCTATTTTTTTCAGGATTTAGGTGTACGGTCAAACATTCTGGGAAATGTACCTGTAACTTTATTTGTATTTTTGTAACTATACCCAGACACACATGAAGCACTTTACCTGTCTATAAATCCGACGAGCCTGAGTGCCTCTGATGAAAGCCTGGATTTTGATGGTGGCCTCTCTGATGGTAAGATAAAGCTGTCGCACAGCCAGCATGCGGTATGTTTTCTGGATGATTAAAGCTGCACGTGTGTAACGGAGGCTCCATGCCAACCTAATGGTTAGGTAACATTGAAGCGCGTACTTCAAATTAGAGTCACAAATATACAAAAACACCCATTAGAAAAAACTACTCAACCAGAATAGGACCTAAAAAGCATACAGTACATAGAGTGCTCACTAGGTAACACTCTAACCCACCCTTGGCCCAGGGTTCCTCTGATGTACCGCTGCAGGATGAAGGTGGCCCACCAGAGCCGCTGATAATGCCTATGCTGCAGCCATCCTCTCACCCAGCTTTGGATCAAAACTCCTGCCGCATGTAGCCGATCCCCTCTCAGCTTCTCCAGTACTGCAACCTGTCCGGCCCGGAAGAAGACCTTGGTCTTGCCAAAGCAGTACTGCTCTGGATCAGGGATGAGACCAGGAAGGGCACTCTGGCAGGAATAGCGCATATCATCTTTAGAAACAGAACCACGTAGCAGCACCCGATAACGAGTGTAAAATTCCTCGTATGTCCACCTGGAGTACAGAGTCAGGGATGGAAGAGGGAACTGAATTGAGAGACCTATAGAAGAGTACTTGCCTGGAGGGGTAGCCTGCGGCACTGATTCGGATGGTCTCCAAGACTCCACATGCTCGCAATTGCTGCACTGCTCGCTTGGGATCAAATCTGATATAGAGAGACGAGAAAAGGTTACTCAAACTCAAATAGACATGAACACAAATTACATTTTATTTATTCTCTTACAGAAATGTTTTTTTGAGGTTATTGGACTTTATGCAGTGGACATAATGCAGTGTGGTGCTGTTCAAGGTGTCCATCAAAAGTTGCAGGGATTGACGAAACTAGACACACAAAGAGAATATGTAAGAAAAGGTAGAAATGTAAGACCTTAAGAGTCAAAGAATACCTTAATGCTGGCTGCACACTAGACAATTTTAAGGCCGAATTTAAGCCCAATCGGGGGCTGTGGCCCGATTTGAGGCTTGTCGCAAACTATTTTTTGTCCAAAAAATCCTCTATTGTGTGGTGTCATTACGTGATTACGTGACTCTGACGTGATACCCGTGATAGCCAATGAGAGCGAGCAAGCATCACTTAACGGATGTTGCGTGCTTCTATAGCTGAAACTTGTCAGCCACAAACATGCCACGAAAGCAGAATACATCACCCATATTCTTTTTTATACTTTGTTTTTCACTGTGAAACTGAACTGTGAAATTGTTCCTACAATCGACAAGTGTGTGGTCTCGCGATGTGGTCGAATCGTCTAGTGTGCACGTTCAGAGGATTATAAGGCTAAAAATCAGTTGAAACTGTCTTCATGTCTGTGGTCTCCCATGGTTTTAAAATCGTTTAGGATTTGAAAATCGTCTAGTGTGCAGCCAGCATTAGATGGACGTGAGCATGACTGGTTAATCAAGAGTTTTCTTTAGACAGGAACCAGGACAAGCAGCTCACCTGAAAGCCCACAGTTAATTTGTGCTCTCTGTGAGCTCTCTTCCCTGAACGTATGCTCCCGTTTGCAAGAGAGGAGTTGGGGAGGGATCCACCTGCTGACTCCGTCTGAAACAACTCAGCAACTAGTTCTGACTGTGAAGGGTACAAACAGTCGTGAGGAGGCAGAGTGAGTACAAAGCTACATTTTTCAACATTTGATTTCTAAATTGCCAAAAATGTCCAGATTTTGGCTGTTTTCGTATTTTTTGGAGATAATAGGCATGTTCAAATTAAAGTATCACTGCACAGACCGAGTGGTGTATGACATCAAAGTACCGAGAGAGTGATTCGAAAGCATAAGGAGCCGTCTGCTCTCTAATCGCTCAGTCGAACACACCTTATGACTAAAAAGTAGTTTGACCAATAGTGTGCAGGAATTGTACAATAATCTACCCATTGCAGTGTTCGAGAAGGAATTGGAATGTCAATAGGAAAAAACAGACATTTTAGGCAATTTAGAAATCCCAGCCAGTACATGTCCAGGAAAAAGAGGACGTATGGTCACCCTACTAGGGTGGAGCAACCCTTCAAGGACTAAGTCACTCTTCACTAGACAGAAGATGTTAGACACCTATGTACACCAAGTCCCAATATCTGGAAACTTACCCTGTTGAACTGCTGTTGGAGTTTCTCGTTTGCGTAGTTAATACAGAATTGCTCAAAACTATTCCTGTCAAAAGTCTCAAACCTATAAATGATCAAAGAAGAGATTGACCAAACAATCCTTCATGTACATTTTTCTTTTGTTACATACAAAATAACTCTTACCCACAGATGTCAAGAACTCCTATGAAAGATTTGGGCTGTTCCCGGTGCGCTCTTAAGGATGAGTTGAGCCTCTGCACTGTCCAAGTGAACAGTTGCTCATACACATGCTTAGCCAGAGCATCCCTTGCTTCATTAGCCTGCTGACCTGTCATGGGCTTCACAAGCATATCCCCTCTCACTGCCAACCGCCTGTGGCATAGCCATTGGGCCATCTGAGCACCTTCCACCCCTAAAAGCTTGGCAAAGATGGCCAAGGAACGGTCGTTGGCTTGCCAGTATGATGAATAAGAAATGGTGTCCGTATTAGCACATGCTACTTGTTAACAAATTAGCACTGCTCCTGTTCTTCATCTATACAGACATCAAATCTAACTCAGAAATGTGCAAAATAATAGGAAGTGGTGCTTGTACATCAATGTAGCTGCGGTCCCCACCACGGCCACTGGCTTGTATGTTGATATTCCCCAGATGAAGAATAGCTGCCAGTATACGAAATATCTCCATCTGCTGGTCAGGTTGCACTCATGCAGGGGTGAACCACAAGTTTTGCAAAAAGTGTGTTGTGTTGTTTTGGAGGAATATATGGATGTTTTTTAGCTTACCGAGAACAGTAAAGGCATTTCTTGTCCGCTCTAGCTCAACCACATCATCTGTGCCAGAAATGTGCACATCTTGTCCTTGGTTGGTGTAATGAAAGTTCTCTGTAGAATCTAGCGAGATGCAGTAGTGCATGGTGTAACTGAACAAAAATGTCCAACACAAATAAACATGTTTTCAGGACATAGGTTTAGGCTTTACCAAGTTTGAGTGTCCTCAGCTCTGGCAAATCCCTGGAAGCACAAAGCTGGTAGAAGATGTGGTAGTTTCTCTCTTGAGCTGCCTGTTTGTGTTATGAAACAAAATTCATCTCAATAACAGAACTTGGTCATTGAACGTCCAAATCCTATCTCAATATACTTTCCAAAACGACTGCTGTTGTTGTTTCTGGTTGTTTTTGCATTACCAATTGCCTGCAAGGCTTAAAATGTCGCAAACAGCCTCCTCCTACTTTACCAAAAAGGTCAGAAATCAAGTTTCAGTACCTCCATGATGGGATTTGATGCCAGCACGTTCTCCTCCACACTGGTCTGCTGGGCCGCACCACCCACGACAGCAAAGTAACGCATGATGAACTTAGCAGATACAGTTTTACCTGAGCCTGATTCTCCACTGATTATGATGGATTGGTTTTTCTCCTCTGTTATAATGATAAACCCATATGTTTTAGTTAAAGTAATGTAATACAGATTCAGAATGAATTTCTCTGCTGTGTACTATCATAGTAGAGTGTTGGTAACACTGTGGTACTTTGATATTTAAATATTATTTAAATGGCTCTCCAAGTAATTCACAGAATACCTTGGTATTACCATGGTACATGTCCAAAAACATGATACTATTTTGTAAGTGAACTGATCTTGTTATTTGCTTGTTCTTGACCTGATCATATGCCTCTTCGGTATGCCTCTTCAGCCACAGAAAAAATGTGTGGCTCCATATCAGCCATGTCCTGGCCGCTGTAAGCGTCGATCACTTCCTCTCCATAAATGGGCAACTGTTCATATGGATTTAACGCCACCAACACAATCCCTATTAAATATTAATAATTATAATATTATAATGAAATGAATCTACTTAAAGAATATGCCTTTTTTTTGTGCATAATTTACTTTTTTTTTTTTTTAAACAGTGCTTGGTAAACATTCTTTACAGTAGCCAATATAACAATGAGTGATGTTATTTGAATTTTTGTGTTTTGAACTTTACACCCAGTAAAATAGAGGTGATTGGGCAATGGCTGTAAAAACTTGCTACTGTTTTCTGTTGATTTTAACTCACGGCAGTAAGTGTAAATGCTACTGTAGTCCAGAAAGCGCACACGCAAATTGTGACGTACCACTGGCTCGTGGAGGAAGGTTAGAGCTGTGAGGTCATTCTCTCCCTCCAAAATATCAGGGTTACCTAGAGGAGGAAGACCCACTGGAGGCAACACTGGATACTCCATCTCCTTGTTTAAAAATAATAAAATAGCATATAAATGGTTTGTACCTATATAAATAAAATAAGATGCATTTTGTAGTAAGCGAACAGCTATACGACTGAAAATGATGAAAAACATTTTGTCTTTATAAAGTTTTGAACAGTTTGATTTGTGGTTAGTGCGACAGGTTCTTTCTTAAAGGCTCATGGTTTCAAATCAGAATCATATGTGTGTAAGTGTTGTACCCTGCCAGCAGTGAGTTGGATTCGTATGTGCTGGTCTCCAGACACCCACACAGCTTCTGGGTCTAGCACCCACACACATGCCCCCTGAGAGACAACAAAAACAGTAACTATATTCATACTGATCATAATCAACAGTATGTGCCAAGTCCAAAGTTTTTTGTATTTGATCCTGATCTCTTGCTAAATTTGTAATTGATATTACTCAAAACACTCAAATGTCAAGTGTACTGGCACATCATTCAACTGGATTTCAAAAACAGTTCAGGAATGAATTGGTACAATGTGCTTCCTGTACCTAAACTAGCTATTTGAGATCTTCAGGACTACTAGAAAGTCCATTGCAGGTGTGTTGGAGATAAACTGTGCATGAAGATGGCCTTATAGGAGCAAGACTGGACATTGCATTCTACAGACTTGATTATGATTATGTCTCAAGATATGGATACCAAGGAAATGTATTCAATATTTTGTATGTTACACAACCGGCTCATGTGCCTGAGTGATTGCCTGTCCCACCCCAGTGACACTCTTTCTCCTCCATCAGCATAAATACACTCACTGCACCATTAAACATTAACACCAGCCAGTCTCCTCTGACAGTGAAAATAATACAGATGCACAAGCACAACACTAAACAAAATCAAACTCTATCTATCTATCTATCTATCTATCTATCTATCTATCCATCCATCCATCCATCCATCTATCTATCTACGCACACTAAACAAAATCAAACTATCTATCTATCTATCTATCTATCTA